AATCCTACCCTAGTGAGGTGGGTCTCCCTCGGGAACGTCAGGCACCACGTTACATTCAGCCGCCACTCATGTGAACCCAAACATGTGAGCATAATTTGGAAAATATCATTTATACTGTGCGTCTTTGTACGTGTCTTGACATTTACAAACTGCGATAAAACCGACATGAGGGAGGAGGGAATAGAAAACAGGGCGAGTATAATTTGAGGTAATGTTTTGCTTAGTGAACAGTATTACCCAATCCTGGATGTTGGAGCACTGGGAAGGAGGTTCTGGCTCTAGGGCTGCAGAGAGGGTCTGGGTTTCATTTCTCGGCAAGTGCAAGCCAAAGGAGGGCTGCCAAGTACAGCTTTCACTCTCAACACTTCCTGCTCTTCCTACTCTGGCTCAGGAGGAGACAGGCTTCACTCAAACATCACGTCGACTTAGGCAGGGGTGGCCAGTTTATTCTCCCATTTCTCAATGGGCGTGAAAAACTCACATCTGTCACATGAATTACACCAAACACAGCCATAAATCCAACAGCAAGATGGATATTTTATTAAGCCGCAAATAATAAGACATTTGCAGGTGTTTGCATGCGTGTGTAAATATAATAACAGAGCATTTCCTATACATGTTAACAGCTTTAAATGACTCACTGTAAAATCTAAAGATCCCACAGCTCAGTGGTATAATGTTAAAAAGAGAAATAAAAGTAACACCTGCAGCAATCAACTCTAAATCAAAACAACAGTGACCCTATCCACTGCATCATTTTCATTATGGATGGTGGGATGGTGTTAGATTAACACTACCTACCGAGTGCCATCTTAATTGCCCCTCTGCAGATGCAGTGAAAACATGTCATTTAGGCACTTCATAAACAGACTTCTCTTTGCAGGTTATCAAGTCAGCCGCTCAGTGAAAACACACCCTCTTTTCCAATGCTGATGTGCAATTAAAATGGTTTTAGAAATCCTCTTTGACAGTCCAGGGCTTAGCCAAAAATGTAAATGACATTAAAGGAGACAATGAATTTAATTTTGTTTAATGTCCCCTTTCGCTGATTCTCATTTACATCACATTTCCACATAAAGGGCTGACCTTATAAATACTGGCATTTGTTCAGCTTTTGGAGGTAATCACGGTTTTGCACAAACCAGATGGGAGCGCACAAATTTTCCGATTTGTTTCTTAGAAGGCCGAGGGAACCACATGCGAGACGTTCTAAGGCTGCGGTCTTTTGTTTCTGGTAAACAACTTGACAACAAGTCAAGTGCACTCTGGGAAATGACCTCGTAGGTGTTCCACAAATGAACGATAACGCAAAGTCATTTAGAAAATACAGGCTCACTAATGAGGGACATAACAGAAAGCTAAGCAAAATCTACATTAGGCAAAAATTTAATTGCATTAACACACGAACAGGTGCGGTGAGGCCTTTATAAATGAGCTAAATGAATAAAAGCCTCCCACAGCACAACCATGTGTGCTGACCAAAAAAAAAGAGAGAGAAAGAAAGAGACAAGGGGAAAAATAAGGGGAAAAAACAAGTCAATGTCATGAATTATTCAGTGGCTGGGCTGCACTCCAAAGGTCAGTGCTCTTTGACCTTTGTGACAGGAAGTGAAAGGGAGGGCCATAGCCGCTGGAATAAATGAAGCTGACATGTTTAGATATGGTCCAGAATCTGTTGGTGAATGGCAGCGTAAACTCACACACCTTAAAAAAAATCCAAATTCATACACGCTCTTAACACATTTGCCGCTTGTCTGTTTCAATGCTACTTGCATAAATTGCTCGAGATCCCTGTGTAAAATGTGACCTTTGAACCCTGACAGTCAGAATGAGTCATTTTCTCTCCTCTTTCAACAACATGTGCCGTCTTATTACAAAATCCATGTGTAAGCCGGAACAATGTATCTAATCTTTCACACAAGAGAGGACAAAGTCAATATGCAAGAGAGTGAAGGCAGATACCCAACCAGAGGAGTCACCGTAAATTGAGTTATGTTTGGCTATATGTGTACTGTAAATGGGAAAACCATCTAATCAGATATTGGGTGCCTCATCACTATATTTCTAAAGACTTAAATTACCAGTTAAATCAGCCTACACTCCCACTTACTTTAAAGGACCATTAACTTATAAATGTGACAACTGTAGCACTGCTGGATTTATAAATGAGACATAGCAAAGTGTACAGCTATGCGATCATAGCAACAATGCTACAATTAGTAGCTGTTTCCTTTATTTAACAAGCACGGACTGACGTACTTTTTTTTTTTTTTTTAGTTTCTGGTTTGATGTCTGAAGAAAGGAAAAAGAGTGCTCATGCTCTTAACAGTGAATCGACTTTTTTGTAGAGCAAAATACGAACTGACTTTTGCAAAAGACACTGAAACTTTAGTAGCACATATAAACCCACCCAAATGCAGCAAAAATAGGGCCTTTCTTCATCCAAAAATTAATATGAATTATGCAAGGGCATCAAATGTAAGTGCTGAAATATTTAAAGACCAAGCAGTGCTGAAACTTTGTGACAGCTGTTGGGCCTATATCTAACCAACTTTTTTTTTTTTTTTAAAGAGAATCCTTCCTCTTCAAAAATCTGAGTGAAAATCTGTATCAAAACTCTGAGAGAAAATAGGGTAAACAGATGTCTGGCTTGACCGCAGGAAAATAGGACACATTTGGAATGATAAGTTTCCCAAACTCCGTTGGATATGCCAGATCCATGGGAATGCCAGTTAATGTCTTGCTAGATGCCAGCTAGCTGTGTGCGCTTTCCCCTCTTACCATCTGGGAAAATGTTACAGAGAATGAACGCCATCAATGATTCACTCCAAATCTGTTTCTTAAGGTTCGGCCATGCTACTGTTTCTCTGGGAAATGTGGCAGTGCTAGCTGGTTTTCATACTGTAATTGTAGACAGATGAGACGTGCCTGATTCAACAATCAAACCTCTCCTCTAGGTTTATGTCACTCAACTATGTTCTACTCAATTGGAAATAATCAGTTTCTGCCAGCAGCGACCGCAGCACAGGTGCCTGTAATGATGTGCATGAGAAAATGACAGATGTAACAGAAATGGCTGTAAAACATGGAAGCTTTAACAGAAAAGCTTACCCATATGCACAGCGGGAAAAGTCAAGTAATTGCAGTAAATAAGCTTACATAGCAAGCCTACAGTGTGCTCTGGCCGTGTCCGTAACTCTTGCTAAACCCTGCAACCTTTCACAAGCACCCCTCTCTGCAAGCCTCCTTCAGTCACTGGGAACCTGTGTGGGTCTGTTAGGGTGAGCTGACGGGCTCATAGTTACGACATGGAGACAATGGGAGGGTCTAATGAGGAACATATGCTTTTGTGTTTCAACAGAGCTGCTCATTGTGCAAGGAAAGGGATACTCTACTCCTATTCAGACTCGTCACAATGAAAATCCGAGCCCTCCCTGAGCCAGTTGAGCTTACAATATCCATCCGCTTCTTTTTTCCCTGTTCTTTTTTTCCCACCCCTCTTCTTGACTTTAATTCTCCATGCATTCATTTTGCTTATTGTACTTAAGTTACATGTTTTGTCCCGCAGATTGAAGAACAATGGCGTGCGAAACTCTAAACAGTAAAAGGCAGCAGAGCAGCACAAAGCAAACATGAAAGCGGCGGAAATCAGGAGACATAGACGTCTCAAGTTATATGTTAATGTTTGCACTATCGCTGTCACTATTGTAAGGAACAAATGCACCTGACTAATGAATTAAGAAATCCTTGCAATCCGGCGAGAAAAAAAAAAGGAAAAAGCTATACTCTTACGATGCCCTAAAAAACCCCTCAATAGTTTTCTTGTACTTGCATTGAGATACATTCAGCCACAGCAACAGCATGAACGACATACAAGCAGCACGCGTGTGTGTTTGAGGATGTGCATGCGTGTGTGTGGGTGTCTGTCTGTCTGCGTTTGTGTCCTTGTCTGAGTGTGCATCTGCGTTTATCTACATGTGTGTCTTTGTGAGCTTGACTTCAGACAGCAGTAGCTCTGGTAATCCATCCAGGCTCCCAGGGCAGCCAGCTCCTACTTCCTGATGCATGAGAAGCCGCTGGAGTGGAGTGGCAGCAACAACTGCTCAGCCCTATTTGATTACTAATAAGAGAGTTGTCCCCTCTGTCAGATACCAGGCATTCTCCACTAAGCAAACAGTGATTCCAGCTAGTCAAACATTAGCATTGCTGTCTCTCCCTACTACGTGGTGAGAGTTACATTGAGATCGACGCTCAAACTACACCCCCTACCTCACCTCTATAGCCACCGAACACACATAAGCACATAAGCGCGCACACCCTCGTACCACCAACCTAAACATATTCACATTGACCAAGACCTATAGTTTCACAGCGTGAGGGAAAATGTCAACGCCTGGAAGAAGGCCATTTATTCTCCCACTTTATAAAGTGATGAAGGTAATATAAAAGTGGCAGATAACTAGCCTGAAGGTGCAGAACAAAACAGCAGACATAAAATGTTTATCCCTCCTAAAACAAAGCTTTAATGGCACCTAGCTCACAGCTAACTTGAACGAAGGAAACAGTCAATGAAAAACAACTATTGACAGTGTAAGCATCACTGTCATAAACAAAGAAAGGAAGCCAGCCAAATAAATGCGAAGTTGCCTAAGCTAATTAGGTGTATTCCCAGCATGATCCTCTAGTGATTGAACCACCTGTGACTGAACAAACCCTATCCAGGTGGTGACCGCCCCTCAGTGCACAGGTACTTGGGAAAGACACCCCTCAGCCACTCACACAGAGTCACCCACAGTTCCCACACTGTGGGCTGTAAGATGCAAGTCAGCCCAACTGGGCCGTCTGGTACAGCGGGAGGGGACTAATTTGTTCACTAGCTCATCCGTGTGCCTGCTCATCCACTCAGTCACTCATGCATTTAGTCAGTCTGACGCTCACTCATTCACTTACTCATTCCCTGTTCGCAAACACAGAAAAGGAAAAAGCTGCACACGGCCTACCTGTCAATGATCACTGGGTCTGAGGGAGTCTCGTTCCTGTTTCCACAGCTTTTCTTGTCACAGCATCGGCTACAAAAACATAGAAAAGTGTGTTACAGGGCAAGCGATACTTTGCACAATAAATACAAATAAATAAATAATGCACAAAAAAAAAAAAAAACACGCATGTATTACGCGTATCTGAGTGCTTTTGATATGGGGGGTAAAAATTACCATGAAATTTCCTTCACTCAATCTATCCTTTCCATTGATGCTGATGGCTGATAAAAATGGTGAAAACAACATGTTGTGTTGTTTGGCTTAGTGTTGGAGGGGAGGGGAGTGGGGATTGGGCCAGGAGGCAGGGGAGTCACTTTTCACAGCTTCAGCTTTTGTTTACCTCTAATTGCCAAGCTGCTATTTCTGAGGGAGATGCAAGGTGCCACCCTCAACCAATATTTCTGCGGGGCATTTATCAATTATGGCCTCAAAAGCACTAATCTATCTTCCACCACATGTTTCAACCATCTCCTCCCTAAGCCTATAGCTAGCTGCCTTTCACTTCTTTGATTGGGACTGGAATAAAAAAAACAGCAAAAATAAACAAATACATCATCCCAGCTTCCATTTGAAATGAAAACATATAAACATATGTGAATAAGATTGATTTATGCCATATGGTGCAGAAAGGGAAAACAAAGATTTTGTGCAAAGCTACTGTCAGTCAAGCACACGCTATTTAAATATCCCTGATTTACATGACTTTCTAGAAGCAATAATAAAAAAGTGTTTTATGGCTGCAAAGTACTGAGAAAAAATATATAATTCAAAAACTAGTTTATTACACGGCTAAAATAAAATATGCTTTAATTAGATAATATATCAAAAGAATATTCTCATTATGTATATCTTCTTATGTGATAATAGGCAGCAGTTGTAGTAGTTGTTTTATTCAGCAGCAAAATGCACTTCCCTTTGGAAAAAAAAAAAATATTACCTCTCGAGCACGACCATATTCAATGTGTCACAAATAAGTGATGGATGCTTGTATAAATTGAGCGTGAGTGATGAGTTTATGCATGGAAAAAGACAAATCATTCTCAGCTCTCATGCTGCACTTGCTCTCAACCAGTAACTTGAACAATGCACCGGTGCAACAAAGGAGCGGTTAACCGACAGTATCCGAATTCAATGTTCACAAAGCTCATGCTGAGCTCAACAATAACAACAAAAGGCGTTTTTCCTTTTAGTATCAATGACACCGCTGAATAGCAGCGCAATATGAGTGGAGATTTATGTGGTTAAATGACACTAAAAGGCTTGCTGATCATTGTTGACAGGTGGGATCAACTGAGAATTGAGTACAAAAAAAAAAAAGATGCATAGCATGCAGCATTAATGCATAACAGAAGACACATTGTCCCTGGCATGCTGATATATAATTCTTAAAATATAAAAACAAACTAAAAGATTAAAAAAAACAAAACCACAACTTATGTACTTTGTCACTGAGTGTTTATTACACATTCAGTTCCCCTTCACTGGAAAAGACAGTTCATTTTCACTGTCATATTCATATCAAAGTTGAATCACATCATATCAAAGTTAGAAATGACAGCAGCTCTCTCTCGCTCTGTGGCTGCTGAAGGACCACAGGACAGTTTTGGCTCGCTGCATCACATCATGAGTGTCAAAACTTATTGAAGGGGAGGGAATTACTTTTTGCTTGAATCTGCAAAATGGACAGAGCAGGAAAATAACGCTTACCTGCACATAATTTCATGAGTAAGAAGAACTCTGCACATTTCTGGATTCTTGTCTTGACCCTCATAAACTATGGCCTTTGAAACAAAATGAGATGGAAATAAAGTGAAAACACAGCCGTCGTTTTCAACACACACATCAAGAAAACTCTTGAACTGGCAAATAATTAGGCTACTGTTTAACAAAATAAATCAGGGCATGAACACACGTGATGTTAGAGCAACACAATATAACAGATGAGACCAAATACTGAATAGGAAATGTGGTTCAAATAATCCCAGCATTCCCCTGTGCTGTAAATTATACTGATTTCTATAAACATAAATGACTGTCTAAATTTAACTATTAAAAAATGCACAAATATCAACTGCTTCTACATTTTTGTGGCAGCAATAGTAAAAATTTATATAAAAATAAAAGTAGCAATCCATATATTTAATAATAATCATAAACTGTATTTTTTATTAATCTGGATAATATGTGGCACAGACAGACAGAGGAAGAGAGAGGGGGGGGAGACAGAGGGATTTTCATAAGGAGAGATCCAATAGAAGTGTCATCAATATGCTTATAATCTGGGGATATTTGGGGGAAAGTGTTAATGGGCAATCTGTTGTTTATTTTGAGCCGCTAACAATGATCTTTCTGTGGATAAAAAGCGGTGTCTGGCGGTACGGTTGAGTAATTTTTGAGCATTGGCTGAAACAGATGGCGTGGAGCTATCAGTTCTGCCGCTCTTCTCTCCCTCCCTCGATCCCTCCCTCCTTCTACCATTTCTAAGGATAGACACTTTACTCCCTCGTACGCTGAACCGGCACCGAGTGTAAATGCAAAGCAAAGCAACAAATTATAAAGAAAATATTGCACATAATGCCAAAAAAATCTACATATATATATATATAATAAATAAACCTGATAGGTTGCATTTAATTTTTACGTTCTGTTTGCCTAGAATGAAATTTGTATTTTTTGCCCCTGACTCTCTTTATGCCAACAGGAAAGAATGACTTTGAAAAAGTGACATATCTGAACCAGGTCGCATCACTCTCTCTCGCTTCTAAAAGCTGTCCTACTTGACCTGCTGTGGTTTTTTTTTCCTCCCCTCTCTTCTTTTTTTCGGGGGAACCAGGCGATTATCTATATTGGTTTGATTTATGTGGCTATTTGCAGCTGTAGAAACAGAAATCCATAAATTGCTTGTTCTGCGTCATTGACTCGGATCATTCGCACAGGAATGTTGTCTGTGACCAGTGGTCCAGGCTTCACGGCTCTATTCAGGAGGCTCTAGCTAAATCCTCTGTTTAATAATAAAACACGATATGGAGAGACGAAAGCGTGGCGTCTAATTTTATTTTCCCTAATCATAATTAAGTTCGGTAATCTAAAAAAAAAAAAAAAAAAATACTCATAAGCATTTTTGGGGGTTTATTTTTACGCTATGAAAGCCATTCACGTGTTTACACCTGAGCAGAATTTTTTAAATGTCTATTTTTATAAATATAACATTTAAAGCAATTTTTAAAAAAAAATGTTTAGACCGTCACCTCTGACTCTTTGCAGGAAAAGTCAAATCGGATCATATGGAGCAGAGGTAGTGTTTAAATTTTAATGCTGGACAAACTGAACCTACAAAAAAAAAAAGACTCAACTCTGGCGAAGAGAAATTGACTTTAGGGTCTTGCAATATGATATGGTCAAACGTAAACAGTCAAAATGGAAGCTGTCTCTTCTGATTCCATCTGTAATTTGATTTTTATTTTGTGCCACAACTGCATTTTGCAAGATTTTTTTCTTTTTTTTTTTTAGAAAACCGAGAAGTGTGTCTATGTATCTCAGGGGTGACGATTTACACGCCATGTTAAGATTTTGTTTGGCTTTTTTTTAAATGTTTTTTTCCTCCCCCACTTGTGAACCGTGGACGCGAGGCAAGTTTGCACTGTGCGCAGAAACAAGTGTAACAGCAGCAGCTTACCTGCTTCGTCATGGAATCGATTAACCGTATGTAAAGATCCTGTTCTGTTCTGACGCCTGGGGAGAGAAAAAGAGGAGCACTTTTACATTTTTAAGGAATTGTGGGTAATGAGTTTATGAAAATAAATAATAATAAACCCTCAAAAAAAGAGAAAAAAGAAAAAAAAACTTTTCATTAAAATCTAAGAGTTCAGATAGTGATTATAATTTTATAATATTATTATTATTATTATAATTATAATAATAATAATAATTATTATTATTATTATTATTACATGTGGTTTTACGCACACAGACAAACTCACTGATAGATTTTCACATGTTTCTAAAAATATTAAAGACAGTTTCACTCACCGTTACTGTACAATAACTGTAGTTTGTAATGTATCCCATTGTTAGTTTTTTCACTGGTTGGTTCCTGCAGAAAACAACAGTTTGTGAAAATCAGCAATCAGAAAAACAACTGCCCATCACCACCACATGTCTATGCGTTTAAAAATAAATTCAGAGTTTTGGTGCTAAAGAAGAGAAACGGCTTTAGATGCTAAAATGACCCTCTGTCATCAAGGAATTGAATTTTTCCTTTTTTCCTTTTTTTCTTTTTAAAGAAAATCAATATTACACGTGACTTCCCCTTAGTAACCCATTGCCCATTTCTGAGTACATAATTTCGATACATGTACTGATTATGTAGAGAGGTGCATGTATTCTAAAATACACCGCTTACTTTTTCTTTCTCCACAAAGTCCACAAAAGCTGTCCTTTCGATCTCCACGGGCTGACCCTGTCTGTCATACAGCGCCAGGACGAAATGGAAAAAATTGGATTTTCTGAGGTTGGAAGGGGGCTGCTTTTCATAATGTGCCCGTGCCAAGCCGACACCGCTGCGGGGAGAAAACAAGAGACCATCTCGGTTAAGCACCGGACACCGGGGATACTAGATGATGGAGAAGCTGATGGAAACATTGGAGATGCAGAAGCACGCTTGAGTACGGGGGAGATTTCTTGATTTGTCACAATAATGGGTAATCTGATGTAATGAAAGAAGGGAAAGCCGAAGGGGGGGCATTTATTGGGAGACCGTAATTGATACAGAGTATTCAGGGGATTGAGGGGTCGATATGATGAGGAGGGAATGCGTGAGAAAAATCAGATGCTTTTTGGCATGCGTACCTTTGGGCGGCTGTGTTTGCATCCACCACCCCAGCTGTGTGCATCCAGGAGCGGACCGAGTTCAGTCCACCCAGCGGTTCCTCCTTCATCGTCGTCCCACCCCGCGGTATAGTTTCCTGAATCCCAAACATTTAGGACAATTTGCGTGAAAAAGAGCCTCCTGCGAAATTAGGCAAATAAACGTCCAAGCGTGTTATCCTTCAGGGTTTTTTTTTTCACGGGATAAGTAGCGAGAGCCGATTCAGACTTGCGAGGGAAAACCCGGTCCACAGGTCTTGCCTCCCTCTTCAGTCCGTCCGATGTGAACAATTCTCAAAGTGCTGTACTTAGTTAGAGCGGTATCCACAGACTGGAAAAGTGAATTGTTCAATAGACAAGATTTTTTTGTGTTGCTATTGTTCCTCTGTTTTTTTTTCTTTTCTTTTTTTTTGTGCTATTCACAGAAAAATCGATGGCAGTTGTTTGTGTTTGTGGGTGATGCTGCTCTCAAAGTGCCCACATCCCTGAAGCACCGCATCCAAAACCTTCAGGACTTCTTGTTGAATAAAAAACCCACTCCTGAAAAGGTGCTGCTGCTTCTCCACAAGACAAACACAGGCAAAGGCTGATCACCAGTGGAGGTGTTCCTAGTACACAGGAGAGGTGGATAAGGGGCCCTTTCGCGTCGTGCAGGATGGATGGGAACATGCAAAACTAAGCCCTCTTTCCCCGAGGACTGAAATCTTTCCCGGGAGCCAAAACTCTAAACCCACGGGAGAGGCGCTGTCAGAATATGACGCTGAAGGGGCGTGGTTTTGACCATATATGGAGCTCTGACGGTTCCTGTCAGGCAGTGGCGCTCCACTGTACGGGTACAGCCCTATAGTGCAGCAGCTTGAGAACACTCATTCGCTCCACTTTTCCTCTTGCTTAGGCCCTATATGTGGTGAGTTTGATTTTTTTAATGATATGGAAAATTCAACCGGGTGTAACCATCACACATAATGAGGAGGAAAATAATAATAATAATAAAATAATCATAATAATAATACATAACAATTACTCGGAATTCAGTGCTTATTATTTTTAGCTGGCCTACCGATTGCAATTTCCGTGATTAGTTTTATTATAATGGATTAAAATTAATAGCATTTCATATATTTATTCGATTAAATTTGTTAACACCATTACAAATTGACTTGATGAGACTGTTTGTTCACTGACGTATCGAAAGCATCTCAGTGTCTGTGAGATTAAAGGCCATAAATCATATTTCAATAAGAGCAGATTATGTTTCTTCATAAAATTGATATATATTCTATTTCGTATTGTGATCGCGTGCTGTGGGTTATGTTATTGTAATTAAGGTGTAATTAACACAACGCGGAAATCATAAAATCACACATGATTATAAATATTTTAATTTACATTAACTTTTCATTGATCATTTTTTTAACAACAGGTATTTGACTCATTTGTTTCGCTGGGGCAGTCGGGCAGGTTTTTTTTTTTTTGGTTTTTTTTATGTTTTAGTTTTTGCGTACAAAATCCAAAAAAGGGAGCAAAGTTTGGAAATCAGACGGAGTTTTTCAGCATCTTTGTTATTAATGTCAAAACAAATCAGTCACATCGCGGTGCCATTTACTGCAGATAAAGTCAGGTCTTTTGACCTCTTTTATAGATTAAAAATCAGAGTCGGTGTCTCATGACATTAAACAAACTTCGGGAAATCCATGGTTCTATGTCTTCCGCATTTAATGCACGCCATGTACCTAATAATCAGAAACATCTTAATCATTTTTAAAGAGCCAACTGCCTACATGTCCGACTCCGTCCGAGAGGGACAAGCAAGCAATTCGGTTCATTAGTGGTGAAAGGGGGGAGAGGATGAAGGAGAGAGGGGAGGGTGCGAGGAAGAGAGATGTGTGCTATATCCTGAGCAATCTATCTAGCTGGTGCAGAGGGTTAATAGCTGCTGCCAAAGATAAGTGAATTATAAGCTGTTGCTTTCACCTCTACACAATCTATTGCCAAATTGCCCAGTTACAAAACCAGGTTGTAGATTTTTTTTTAAACTTTTTATTTTTGTTTTTGTTTTTTATTTTTTTTAGAGAACTCAAAGTTTAAATTTGTGGGGAGGGGAGGATATGAGAATGGAATCAAATGGGTGCTCTTTGTTAATTGTATTTTTCCCCCTTAGATGAAACAAATCGAGACGCGTGCTGCAAATGTTTTGTCTGTTCTACCGAGATTGCAAATATCTTTTTTGCACAGAACTCACTGTGCTTTTTGCACAGTTTCAAGTCGCTTATTAGAACTTAACCCCTGATTACACGCACCGAGGCGATTTAAATCTGATTATCAAATTAGGAGACTTTGAGACAAATCCTCTTAGATCTGATACTGTTGACTGGAGAGGGAAAATGGATCTCCACACCCGTCACGTAGGTAACGATGCTGTCCTGAAAGGGAGTTTTAAACCGTATTTGACAACAAATGCAGCTGCCCCGCTATTTCAGAAGATATTAAAGGAAAATGAATGCAAATCTGTGTGCAGGAGCCATCTGGACGTGGAGAGAGGGAGTCAGCTGCTCCACACACTGAGGCGCGGAGCCTGAATCCGTCTCAGCTCATTCTGTGGGATCATCTGCGTGGTGGGCTTACACCGTGGAAAATGCGCTCTCCATCATTAGGTGAAATGTTAGCATCAAAATAAAAGAAATGTTGATCCCCGTTTGTTTTAGTGATTGCATGCATGAAAACTTTGCACGGGCGTGGAATTAGACCATCTCAGTCACATTTTCTTTTTATTACCCACCCCCTCCCCCACTCTCCTTAAGAAATTTTTTTTAAATCCACTTTTTTCAACAGCGTGCTAGAGGTAAGTGATGGGTGACAGAGAAGGGGAAACAATTGCAAACTATTTCATCTTGGCCGCATTAAGCCAGCCTGAATGCTCGTATAAATGACCGGCTGATAACACGGGGGCCCTGTTATCTCACTCTTTCTATTCAGTGATCACAATGAGTGAACCCCCAAAGATTTGGACCTGACCACTGATATAAAACCAAACTCCTCGGGACGCGTGGTTTCCACTCAAAAAAAAATGTTACAGGGTGACTTTAGAAGACCTCCCGTCTCGACGGGACGAGGGTGACGTCTTCTTTTTTGTGTGCGTGTGTCTATGTGTGTGTGTGTGAATTTACGGGGCGAGGCCCTCATGATCTCCTTAAATTTGCATGTAAATGGCGACATCAGCCTATACGCGTGCCAGGGGCCAGCGGGCCTCCCAGATGTCAAGGCAAAGTCAATCAGCCGGCCGCTGCCCAGCTGTCCATCGATGCACTTTATTGGGACAACACTTTCATTATGCTCACCTGCATTGTTTCCTAATGGATTGATTGGTAAAAAGCGAAGTGAAGGAAATTTTATTAGCACCCACCAAGCAAGTTTCCTCACGGCTTTATCGCAGAGGTTGTTTTAAAGTGATCTTTTTCCCCCTTCTCCTTCTTCTTCTTTTTTTCGATTAAATATTTATCAAGTACGCCCACAGTTAGGCATTATTCCAAATTCCATACGGAACAAATAGGCAATCAGCCCACTTACTGTTTACAGCTAACATCGCCTGTTCCGTTGTTTAGAGCTACAATATTTTGTGAAAATATTTGAAGTTGAAATTTAAGTTACACCGCGCAAAGAAAACTAATTTAGGGAGCTTCAGCCTACAGCCTTTGTTTAAAATTTCTGTCACTTGTAGCTGAATTAGAAAAGATTAACTCCAGCTGATGCTTGTGCGTTGACAATTTTCTCATGAGTAGGGAGGAAAAAAATACACATCACTTATATCAGTTTCCCCCATCAGTTTTAATTAAATTACCAAATAGCTTGATTCCGCATCACATATATATATAAAAAAAAAACCTTCAGTGCAAACTTTAGTTATTACAACTTATCGGCCTAATAAATGCACGCCTAAAATTCGATATCTCATATTAAAACATGGTTTTCACGATATTTTTTTAATTATTGTAGTTAGAAAAAAAATCAAACGGCCAAGAGTGATGAGATCAATCATGAAGGCTGTTCGTGTCAAGTTGGAGCTAATAGACGGACAGCGCCCCTCGTTGGTTACACTTGAGATCATGGAGTCGATATGAGGCAGCTGTGTTGTTCAGTGACAAGATAGCAAAATCTCAAGTTTGGTTTATATGTAACTGCTTCCCCACTGCCCCACGAGCTACATTTTCTTTTTTCAAATTCAGGTACTATTTTAAAAAGCAACAGAATTATTTTTAAAATAATAAAAAATATATTTTTTTTATTTTTCTTTGTCATCTCGCACACTAGAATAAGAAAAAATAACAGATATTTGAAGGGCTAAAAAAATTAAGGAAAGAACGTTTTTTATGTATTATTATTATTATTATTATTATTATTATTATTATTATTATTATTATTATTATTATTTCTGGTGTGTTTATTGTGTGTCTGAAATAAACATTATTTGACAATGTGCTGGTGTGACCTCACGTTTCGTCACTAACTTCTGTCAGAGTGTTCATGTTAATTGTGTGCAGTGGTGAGTTCTGTCAAGGGCATTGCCCGTGCGCACAATTTGCATTTCCATTCTGCTGTGGAAATGATGAGAGAGTTTCTGCGCGGTTTAGAGCCTCGCGGCGCAGTCTGTGGGCGAATTACATTTAAAGAAGGCGAGAGAAATTAAATAAGAAACCGAGACCACTTCAGGGCTATTAACATCTAAAATATCCCCTGGAAATTTAGACCAAAATACACATGACCAAATACCCAGGATACCTTCGCTCTTAACACAGCCCTGGTCTTGATTGTGTCCATCACTGTTTTGTAGGCCTATCTAAAATTCTTTATTTAAAAAAAAAAGTTATCAGGCCGCCTCACATTTCTCAGTGGCGATGATGGAAGTGAGGCAAATTTGATTATTCAGCTCTAAATCGGAACATATTAACTTAATATATAGGCGCCCTACTGCCAAACAGACTGTGACACTCAGAAAAATGGGTGCAAAAATCCGACTTTAAAGGTCAGTTTAAAAAAAAAACCCTCATCAGTAAGTATGATGTGGGCACATGTTGCATCGGGGAAAGTGGCCTCCAAAAGAGGAGGCATCAGCTTTAACCTTGTTCCTTTTTTTTCTTATTTTTTTTAGAGCGCCTGTGCATGCATGACCAAACAGGCAGCAGCCTTTCCCTCAGTACTCCAGAGACCTTTAATTTGCCTGTTGACCCCAGGATGGAGGTGTTGCCAACTCACAGTGATACTACCTCACCCACAAGAGACTAATAATTCTCAAGTTACTTACATCAAAATATATATTTTCAACATGTTGCATCAGTGCCTCTAATTCGTTTTTCTCCTTTAGGGGCTGCCATTATAAAGGAGATACATATTTGATGGCAACTGGCAAGTCTACAAATGCATTTTGATTTTAGTCAGATTATTAATATCGGACTGTGTTACTATTAACAGAAATGTTAATTATGATGTCAAGACAGAGGGAGTCAAGGTGAAAGCTGCACAGCAATAGCTAAAAATAATCCATGCCAGCCAGAGTACAGTATGATCCTGCAGAGGAGTGTTACTGGCAAGGGACCTTTTTGCTGCAACAAAGAGGTGGAAAAGAGGAAGTAAATGAATTAGAGTACAAGCCAGATTTTGTCTTTGTTTCATCCACACTTGTCC